GTGAGTCAGTGAGCCAGTGTGACATTAAGCCAGTGTAACAATGACTCAGTGAGTCAGTAAGCCAGTATGCCAGTGAGCCAGTAAGTCAGTATGCCAGTGAGCTCGTGAACCAGTAAGCCAGTAAGTCAGTATGCCAATGAACCTGTGAACCAGTAAGCCAGTATGCCAGTGACTCCGTGAACCAGTAAGCCAGTAAGTCAGTATGCCAATGAACCTGTGAACCAGTAAGTCAGTATGCCAGTGACTCCGTGAACCAGTAAGCCAGTATGCCAATGAACCTGTGAACCAGTAAGCCAGTGACTCCATGAACCACTAAGCCAGTAAGTCAGTATGCCAGTGAGCCAGTAAGCCAGTATGCAAGTGAGCCCGCGTACCAACAAACCAGTAAGACAGTAAGCGAGTGAGCCAGTATGCCAGTGAGCCCATGTACCAGTAAGCCAGTAAGTCAGTTTGCCAGTGAGCCCGTGTACCAGTAAGCCAGTAAGTCAGTATGCCAGTGAGCCAGTAAGCAAAAATGTCAGTGAGCCAGTAAGCCAGTATGCCAGTGAGCCAATAAGCAAGTAAGTCAGTAAGCGAGTGATCCAGTATGCCAGTGAACCCGTGAACCAACAAGCCAGTGAGCCAGTATGCCAGGAAGGCAGTGAGCCAATGAACCAGTAAGCCAGTAAGCCAGTGAGCCCGTGAACCAGTTAGCAGGTAAGTCAGTGAGCCAGTATGCAAGTGAGCCCTTAAGACCAGTAAGCCAGTGATCCAGTAAGTCAGTAAGCCAGTGAACCCGTGAACCAACAAGCCAGTGAGCCAGTGGGACAGTAAGCCAGTTAGTCAGTGAGCCAGTACGTCAGTGAGCTCGTGAACGAACAAGCAAGTAAGCCAGTAGGAGAGTTAGCCAGTGAGTCAGTGAGCCCGTGGACCAGTAAGCCAGTGAGCCAGTATGCCAGTGAATCCGTGAACCAGTAATTTAGGAAGCTAGTGAGCCAGTATGCCAGTGAACCCGTAAAGCAACAAGCCAGTAAGTCAGTAGGGCAGTAAGCCAGTGTACCAGGAAGTCAGTAAGCCAGTATGCCAGTGAGCCCGTGAACCAGTAAGCCAGTAAGTCAGTAAGCGAGTGAGCCAGTAAGCAAGTAAGCCAGTGAGGCCGTGAACCAGTACGTCAGTAAGCCAGTAAGCCAGTGAGACCGTGAACCAGTGAGTCAGTGAGCCAGTGAGTCAGCATGACAGTGAGTTGGTGTGACAGTAAGCAAGTGTGACTGTAAGCCAGTGTGACAGCGAGCCAATGAGACAGTGAGCCAGTGGGACAGTAAGCCAATGTGACGGTGTGTCAGTGTGACAGTGAGCCAGTAAGCCAGTGAGCCAGTGTGACAGTAAGTCAGTGTGATAGTAAGCTAGCGTGACAGTGAGCCAATAAGTCAGTGAACAGATGTGACAGTAAGCCCGTACGCCAGTGAGCCTGTGAACAAGTACGCCAATAAGCGAGTGAGACAGTAAGCCAGTAAGTCAGTGAGACCGTGAACCGGTAAGTCAGTAAGTCATTGAGCCAGAAATTCAATGAACCAATAAGTCAGTGAGCCAGTAAGCCAGTGAACCAGTAAGTCAGTAAGTGAGTGAGCCAGTAAGCCAGTGAGCTCGTGAACCAGTAAGCCCGTAAGCCAGTGAGCCCGTGAACCAACAAGCCAGTAAGCCAGTGAGCCCGTGAACCAGTTGACTAGTGGGCCAGTGGGCCGTGAGTTTAGTTCACGTAGTTTTGCGATGTACTGTAGCGGTGGTCGTAAACATTTCCCGCTTTAAAGTATACTACATTGCTCGTTAAAGGAAATATTAGAACTTAACCGGAAAAGCACATTTCCGGAATATAACTTTATACAAGACAGCTCACAGCTCATGGTTAATGACTCACAGCTCACAGGTCATGGCTTACGACTCACAGCCCACAGGTCATGGTTAATGACTCACAGCTCACAGGTCATGGCTTACGACTCACAGCCCACAGGTCATGGTTAATGACTCACAGCTCACAGGTCATGGCTTACGACTCACAGCCCACAGGTCATGGTTAATGACTCACAGCTCACAGGTCATGGTTAATGACTCACAGTTCACAGGTCATGGCTAACGACTCACAGGTCATGTCTTACGACTCACAGCTCATGGCTTACGACTCAAAGCTCACAGGTCATGGCTTACGACTCACAGCCCACAGGTCATGGCTTACGACTCACAGCCCACAGGTCATGGTTAATGACTCACAGCTTACAGGTCAAGGCTTACGACTCACAGCTCACAGGTCATGGCTTACGACTCACAGCTCACAGGTCTTGGTTAATTACCCACAGCTCACAGGTCATGGCTTACGACTCACAGCTCACAGGTCATGGCTTACGACTCACAGCTCACAGGTCATGGCTTACGACTCACAGCCCACAGGTCATGGTTAATGACTCACAGCTTACAGGTCAAGGCTTACGACTCACAGCTCACAGGTCATGGCTTGCGACTCACAGCTCACAGGTCATGGCTAACGACTCACAGCTCACAGGTCATGGATTACGACTCACAGCTCACAGGTCATGGCTTACAACTCACAGATCACAGGTCATGGCTTACAACTCACAGCTCACATGTCATGGCTTACGACTCACAGCTCACAGGTCATGGCTTACGACTCACAGCTCACAGGTCATGGCTTACGACTAAAAAAAATCTCAGGTCATGGCTTACGACTCACAGCTCACAGGTCATGGCTTACGACTCACAGATAACAGGTCATGGCTTACGACTCACAGATCACAGGTCATGGTTAATGGCTCACAGCTCACAGGTCATGGCTTACGACTCACAGCCCACAGGTCATGGCTTACGACTCACAGCTCACAGGTCATGGCTTACGACTCACAGCCCACAGGTCATGGTTAATGACTCACAGCTTACAGGGAATGGCTTACGACTCACAGCTTACAGGTCATGGCTTGCGACTCACAGCTCACAGGTCATGGCTAACGACTCACAGCTCACAGGTCGTGGATTACGACTCACAGCTCACAGGTCATGGTTAATGACTCACAGCCCACAGGTCATGGTTAATTACCCACAGCTCACAGGTCATGGCTTACGACTCACAGCTCACAGGTCATGGCTAACGACTCACAGCTCACAGGTCATGGATTACGACTCACAGCTCACAGGTCATGGTTAATGACTCACAGCCCACAGGTCATGGTTAATTACCCACAGCTCACAGGTCATGGCTTACAACTCACAGATCACAGGTCATGGCTTACAACTCACAGCTCACAGGTCATGGCTTACGACTCACCGCTCACAGGTCATGGCTTACGACTCACAGCTCAAGGTCATGGCTTACGACTCACAGCTCACAGGTCATGGCTTACGACTAAAAAAAATCTCAGGTCATGGCTTACAACTCACAGCTCACAGGTCATGGCTTACGACTCACAGCTCACAAATGTTGCATGTTGAATGTATTTCAAAGTGGGTTAAGTCATTGCTTCATTGGTAGAATGCAAGAGCTGAAAAAAAGGAAACAGAATTGGAATAAACCCATTCTGTCCCAGCTAGCTGTCATTCAAAGTCTGGCTGCCCACATGAAACGTTTGTAGTTGTTACCACTGACAAGGCCTCAGATAACATGACCATTACATGTCAGCATCCCCACATTGATTGTTTGATCAAAGAACTTGGTATAAGTGACATATCAAATAATGCCACATATAAGGCCAGTATGTTAACTGAGGAAGAAATCCGTCAAAACCATGCATCAGTACCCTCAACTTTTTACTTGACTCTAAAACCTGAAGACATATCCGTTGATCTTTTGTACTGAATTCCAAAGCTCCATTAAAAAAATCCGCAAAAAGAGAGATATATTGCCGGGCCCAGCAAATGTACCACCAAATTCCTGTCTCAAAAACTAACCATATTCCTTAATAGTATCAAGGACGGACTTTCTTTATATTCACAGTAAGTATTTGAGATAAGTGGAATTAACACCGTGTGGATTCACAAAAACTCAAAAGATTAACTTGACTCTTTACAATCTCAGAAAAGAACAATGTTCAATTATGTGAAAAAATTAGTTTTTCAACTTTGTACTCCACTACCCCCCTGTGACAAACTTAAGGGTAAACATTATACCTTGATCCATGGGGCTTTTGTTACAAAACGTGGGGACCATAGATTAAATTGCATATCGAACGTCCGAGGTTCAGGACAATTTGTCAAAAATGAAGCGATGATGAAAGATCTGAAGTTGACTGATAACACAATATGTGAACCCTGAACTTCCTCATTTATAAAATCTATGTAACATTTTGAGGTAAAAAGTAGGCATCCATGGACACCAATTTTGCTCCCCACCCTGCTGTTTCTTTGTGCACAAGAAATCGGAATTTCTGCTCGGATTGGCAAAATTAAAAAAAGGTAATTTTAAGCTTAAGCTTCATGTATATCGATATTCTGATATCGTTCAATCACCATCAAAAAGCCAATTCCCTTCCACTAATTTACCCACACGAACAAGAAATAGAGGAGACCAGTGAGACCGCCTCATCTCTTTCATCAAGGTTACAACATTCCAAAAAAATTAAGGTAGACATGTGGAGGACATTTCCAAATTTGACACATCAGTGACAAAAATGATATCCGATGCAATTCCCAATTTTGCCTTGTACCATATGTTTCCGTGTTTTTTTCAGGTGAACAATTGACTTGCCTTTGCATGGGTTTGTGACCGGAGCCATCCAGAAGGGCAGGACACCTTTTCGCGAACAACTGGTATTATTCACTATTTGATAGTAATTCACAAACACATGCTCATGATATAGTCGGAATCGTACAATCGACTCTTTCTTATGAAAATGGAACGGATTTTGTCGCTTTTATTTACGACGCTCACAGATCATGGCTTACTTGTCACATCTTACATGTTATGGCTCACGCAGACATTCAGAACTACCAATTATGTATTCAAACTTTCAAAGACTCACCGAGTAGCAGTAGTAGGTGTGGGTCAGATCGTACACGAGACACCTATCCGCCTCGCCGGGCTGGTGAAACTTAAGTCAGCGGCGGTGCTAACAAACTGCCACACTCCATGCCACGTGCGTGTCGCTCGTCAACACGGAGCTGATGTGAGGTGACTGTTGGTTGGATTACAAGTCGTTACAATGTTTCTGTATCAATCATTCTCATATGTAATTGCACAGTACATCTGGATAATGACCCGAGCGCCTAACACACCCATCAATGTATAGATAGTTAATTGATTTCATATTGATCTCCGGATCTTATTTGATGAAACACACACACCGATTGAGGATTTTCTTATTGGACCCATCCTATTTAACAATGCTGGATCCGCACTTGCTTTCTGGACTCATGCTTGTCCTGTTTTTTCGATATAAAGACAATAATTATTCATAAACCAGTTCAGTCACATTTGAAGCAATGGTTTTCACATATTAAAAAGATTGGAAGCTAATAACACGTCATAAGTATGAAAGCGCAGTAAGTTCAACCAAACTGACACTGGGCGGTTCTAGGAAACAGAACACCACGAGATTTCTTCCCGGAATGACTATATGCATATCAGTGTTCTGGTCATGATATCGATCTGTGATGCTTGGATGCAGAGACTGAGGGTCGATGTCGTGACATGGGGCTCTATTTGTGCAGGATGCATAATGCATCACAGGTGCGTCATATGAACGCTTTGGGCAGAGATGTGACACAGCTTAATGCAAAGTAAATTTGACGACATGGTTTACATGAGAGACAAATACATCAGACACAGGAACCTGCGTATTCCTCACAATTGAGTGTCACCAGAGGTTGCTGTCTGAACCTGCGTATTCCTCACGATTTGAGTGTCACCAGAGGCTGCTGTCTGAACCTGCGTATTCCTCACGATTTGAGTGTCACCAGAGGCTGCTGTCTGAACCTGCGTATTCCTCACGATTTGAGTGTCACCAGAGGTTGCTGTCTGAACCTGCGTATTCCTCACGATTTGAGTGTCACCAGAGGCTGCTGTCTGAACCTGCGTATTCCTCACGATTTGAGTGTCACCAGAGGCTGCTGTCTGAACCTGCGTATTCCTCACGATTTGAGTGTCACCAGAGGTTGCTGTCTGAACCTGCGTATTCCTCACGATTTGAGTGTCACCAGAGGTCGCTGTCTGAACCTGCGTTTTCCACACGATTTGAGTGTCACCAGAGGTCGCTGTCTGAACCGGTGTATTCCTCACGATTTGAGTGTCACCAGAGGTCGCTGTCTGAACCGGTGTATTCCTCACGATTTGAGTGTCACCAGAGGTTGCTGTCTGACCCGCGTATTCCTCACGATTTGAGTGTCACCGAGGTTGTTGTCTGAACCTGCGTATTCCTCACAATTGAGAGTCATCAGAGGTCGCTGTCTGAAACTGCGTTTTCCTAACGATTTGACTCTCACCAGAGGTCGCTGTCTGAACCGGTGTTTTCCACACGATTTTAGCGTCACTAGAGGTCGCTGTCTGTACCTGCGTATTCCTAGCGTCTTTTCTATAGCCTTTCCCTATAAACCATTATCTGTGTCTGTATACCACTAGTGGCTGTATGCTGTATTCAACTACGGAACTGCACGTGTAAATCCCTTGCGTGTGTAGGCTGCATACTGTCCTGCCAAGACCGCCTTTATCAGTCACTATACACCATGCATTATGCACGATAGTCCATTTCGACCTACGCTAAGTGGTTTCATTCTCAACATCAACTGACAAACTCGACGGTAAAGAGACAGTGATTGGTATCCGACAACCACAACAACCACTAAGCACTCCCCATCTGAAACGATTTGTGGTCTATTGTTGCCGATTTCAACGTTATTGAATCAGGAGCGCCCGTCTCTCGTTCTGTTGCACCAAATTGAGTGATGTCTCCAAGCAATCCAGCTGACATAAACGTTCTTCTACATGTGAAACAAGTAATGAGGATAATTGCTTAGAATTTTTTGGTTTTGATTTATCACTGTACTGTACCTCCGCCTCTTCTCTGTCCGTGTGTCGCCGCGAATAGCTGCAAGATTGATGATGCGGCGTTTAGCAGTTAGTACTTACTCACTGTAAAGAATGATCTGCCATCCCACCTAGTGACGAGTATTTATGAAGCACTATCATCTACACCGGGGCCTCTTCTCGGGCGTGTCAGAAACCTATTACAGTGGGTTCGAATCGATTCGCCTTGATTATGTTTCCGAGTTTGTCAACACCATACTGAGCTCGTGGGTTTTATCAAAGTGTTAGCGCCGTTGTATGCAACTGAAATACTGTTAGACGCTGTAATAAATAACTGAAATACTGTTATACGCCGTGATATATACAACTGAAATACTGTTCAAAGCTGTGTTATAAAACTGAAACACTGTTAAACGCCGTGATATACAACTGAAAAAACTTATAAACGTTGTGATCTATGACTGAAATACTGTTAAACGCCGTGATATATAACTGAAATACTGTTAAACGCCGAGACCTATAACTGAAATACTGTTAAACGCCGTGAAATATATAATACTGTTAAACGTCGTGATCTATAACTTACGGTGACCCATAAGGGACATGGAGTCTGTTTTTCCATATTTTGATATTTCACTTACATTTATCGTAACCTTTTGCAAATTAACACGATTTGTCTTACAAATATGTGATAAATCACGTGTAAAGAAGATATTGAATCGCTGAAAAACGAAACGAAAATGTCAAAAACTAAAATGAAAATGTCAAAAACACAAAACGAAAATGTCAAAAACTAAAATGAAAATACAGAAAACTATTTCCACCGCAGTGTAAATATTATCACCGCGGTGTGAATATTATCACCATGGTGTGAATATTATCACCGCGGTGTAAATATTACCACCGCAGTGGAAATAGTTTTCTATATTTTCATTTTCGTTTTTGACATTTTTGCTTTTGTTTTTGACATTTTCGTTTTAGTTTTTGACATTTTCGTTTTTGTTCTTTGCCATTTTCGTTTTAGTTTTTGACATTTTCGTTTCACTTTTCAGCGATTCAATATCTTCTTTACACATGATTTATCACATATTTGTAAAACAAATCGTGTTAATTTGCAAAAGGTAACGATAAAAGTAAGTGAAATATCAAAATATGGAAAAACAGACTCCATGTCCCTTATGGGCCACCGTAATAACTGACGAAAAAATGCACATCCAAACTATCGTCAGTATCGACTCGATCCGTGTCTTGGCTGACAGTGACCGTATCCAGCAATCTACGAATTTACCTTGGTGTCTGTTTGACGCATCTTTAATCACCTTTCAATAATCGGTCAGTTGATCAATGATGACTAACACATGTAACCGCTTCATTAACAACTTCGGAAATCCTCCCGTCACGTTTATCGTGTCGGCCATTTTGACGTCTTGTACTTGATGTAACTGTATTACGACGCGCTGTCATTGTGACTGACTTACTGAGGTAGTTCATTACAGACCTTTCTCATCTAATGATGATATTATTTGAGTACATTTGTTCTAAGGGAACTACAAAAGTTGTCCCTGTTGAGCATGTTGAGCAGATATAAGCACATGTCACCTCTCGTTTTGAGGAACTATTTTATTCCAGTACAGCTGGTTGTTGTTTGGCTGTCAGTGTAAACATGAAGTCACACGTACCAAATAAAATTGTGTTTAGATCTTGGCCTACATCCTTTGAGGTAAGAAATTGTTTTTAAAAATTATAAGAATTGACTTTCACATTGTATGAATTCATTGGAGTATGAACCTTCATAGAGTGAGGGCCAAACATTGTATGAACGCCGTCGCAAGCTCCGACGTTCATACAGTCTGGCCCTCACTCTATGAAGGTTCATACTCCAATGGACTCACACAAAGTAAAAGTCAATTCTTAATTGACTGTGTAGGCGTGTCAAGTTATGCGCAATTAAACGATCACCTGATTCATGTTACGCCATGTCATGTCAGTATGAATTCCTACACCTGGAATGTTTATCAATCTCGTCATTTTTGTCTGTTTTGATATATACAACTGTTTTTGGTTTAACTATTGTAGATAAAACATGTTTTACGCTGTCGAATTTAATAATAAGCATTGACTGTGTATTTTTTCGGTTCATTGAGGTATGAATCAAAAAGCCGATGTGCAAACTTTTATAAGAATCCGCTACACAGATTCATACAGTTTGCACATCGCTTTTTCAGTCCATACCTCAATGAACCGAAAAAAATACACAGTCAATTCTTAAATGAACGTCAATTTCGCGGTCATGTAACCTATCTCTCGTCCAATGGTAAAGCCGTATATCGTGTAAACTTCAAATTAAAAAATTATAACTGGAATACTGTTAAACGCCGTGATATATACTCACACGCAAAAGAAACGCAAGTAGTTTTAAGAAAATAGGTAACAAACACGGAACCATAAATTGATACGAGTTTTAGCATGTAGTGAAGCCTGATGGTGTTATCAATATTTTTGGTTGCATTTTGGAAGCCCCGACTAAAAACGCAACATAAAAAAACGAATCGCCAAAACGCACCATTTCAATGAATATGTGGGTATCATGCAACCATTTCTCGCGAAATTGAAAATGCACGAACTGTAGTGGGTATAAAACTGTGGCCGATTCTTGGACCTACCACTCCTTGGTCAACAATGCAACGCCTAACTCAAATTCAGAGAAACGGACTTTTGGAAGCTGGAGAGTCTGTCCAAGATGTTGCCCGTCATGTCAACGTTAACATAACCACAATTTACCATCTCCTGCATCGATACAATGCAGGGTCATCACAATTGGCGTCATCGTGAGTGCATGGAGGCGTGTCATCTTCTCTGATGAAAGTCACTTTTGTGTCTCCCATCGAGGTGATCGTTTCGTCTATGAGACGTCACGTTTGTTTAGAGTCTGCCTGTCCTGTCATAACGTTACGAAGTGCATTAGGTGTACAAACAGCGATAAAACGAAACATGGTAACAATTCGTACATATTTCGGCCACATCCAACTCTTTTAATTTGTGGAAAAAGGTTCCAAGCCGCAGAGGTCTACAAGCAAAGATATGGAAATTGATCGCTGGCGTTAGTCTAGTGTCCTCGCTAAATTGTTTCGCAATTTATATCTCCAAAGTTGCGAAAACTTGTAAAATGCATTAGCTTCGTCACAGTTAGACACTGATATTCAGTATATCAGATTATCCTTTTGATAATGATAGCAATTATCCCCGTAGTTTCTCCAGATTCCCGATGGTTACTTCCGACTCGATCGCCGAATGAGAAGGGCGACGCCATGTTTGTGTGTAACACTGAAAATAGTCCTTACTCGACTTGCTATTTGCATCTCTAACCGCATATGACCCCAACGGATATCGTTAATATCCAATGATATCGTTTTTATCCGTTGGCTTTATCATGCCGAGAAACCTACCCATTATATGATAAATTGCGATAATCACACTTCTGTGCGCATAATTTTCTGCCATGGGGACACGTGCCGTTGCCTTCCTCACCTACTCTTCACTTCACAATGACTCCCTAGTTTAGTCGATTGGTCGTGACAAAGGCGTGAGTACGCGTATCCTGTACACATTATCGTTAACGCTGTTACGAATAGATTGCTATTGCGCTAATGAAAATACCATAACGGATTAATTTACGACCAGCACAGTCTCCCATACTTATTCATAGACTTACGATATACTCGTGGCACTAATTAAGATGGCCTTTTCGAAAGCGTCAAATGAATGAGGTCTTGAGCGGAGAGGAGGCGCGGCAGTCACGGGTGGCCCAGTCGTCTAAGGCGCCGCGATTCGCTGTGCAGAGTCGCGTCCCTTGGGCACGCCAGAAACCTATGATTGAGGGTTCGTATCCCGGTTCGCCCCGATTATGTTTCTAGGTTTGTCAGCACTATACCCGTGCCCGTGGGTTTCACCGAAGTGGTAAACGTCTAAGACCTGCATCACTTCGGGCTTTCCTCCCACACTAAGCTGACACGCCGCGATATAACTGGAATACTGTTAAAAGCGGCGTTAAACCCAACTCCCTCACTCACTCCAATTTATGTGCACATGAGGGAATGGTCTCTTTGTCGGATCGGGACTGTTGTTGGACTCTTCGTTATCTGAACCATCCCATCAATTGCACTTTAATTATCTTGAATTGCTGTAACCTTACTTTACCAAAGGGGGCACGGGTGGCCCAGTCGTCTATGGCGCCGCAAGTCGCCGTGCAGAGTTGCGTCCTATGGCACACCAGAAACCTATGATCGTGTTAAATCCCTGTTCGCCCGGTTATTTTTCTAGTATAGGTTTGTCAGCGCCAGACCCATGCGCGTGGCTTTCAACAAAGTGGAAAATGTCTGAGGCCTGCATCACTTCCGGCTTTTCTCCTACATTAAACTGTAAGGCGGTTTATAACCGGAAGACTGTTAAAGGCGGCGTTGAACCCAACTCACTCACTCAGTACTTTACATAATGCATATGCTCTTGCATGAACCAATCCATCAAATGCATTTTCATGAAAAATTCCAACCACAATTTAGCAAAATGCTTATTAAGGATAGGATTTATGGATGCATAACTTCTTTATTTACTATTAAGAGCGCCTATTTCGGTGTAGGTTCTAACACCGTTATCAAGCAAGTGATGATGCATATGTTGTCGCATGAACGAATCCATCAAATGCATTTTAATTAATCGTTCTGCATGGCTTCAATTTAACAGAATGCATTTGTTGTCGCATGAACCTATCCACCAAATGCCTTTAAATTAATCGTTCTAGCGTCAATTTATACATATGCTATTGCAAGATCTTGAAAACAATGCATTCTAAAGCTAAGCGCTGATTAGGTGCAATAATCTTACTTCCCTAATAAAATCTATAGTAGAAATGCAGAGAAATATATTTATTTCGAATTTGATATATCATTATCGCGATGTATCTTTCTAGTCGGATAACTTTGTGTGGTAGCAAAATGACTTCGAGTAAATGAGGTGTAACATTATTGTCCATTTAAAAAACATTTAATTTCTGAAATAGAAAAGAAACTGTCGCCCTTATTTTGCTTAATAAACAATTTGTACATTTGTATCAGTGTCATTTATATCTATTTAGTTGTGTATTTTGTGTCGCAGATCAACTTCGGTGCTTAATTATGCGAACATGGTATGCATAAGTTCGCTGTCGCGTCTTATCTATGATATCAGATAACTTGGATATATTTTCGCCTTCACTCGACGGAAACGGCATCTCGTTATCGTAACCTTCCGCCGACTATCGATTCCTTCTGATTGAGATTGCTACAACGGGTCAACTACAGGTCAAAGTGTGGCGACACATTCGGTCCGGAAGCGCCTAATTACAACACAGCGCTTCCGCGTCCGTTAACTTCATACGTCAGAACGAAGACGTATATACGTGTATGTACGTCTTTGGCCAGAGTTAAGCGACGCAGAGGTTACGAAAGTTACAAATTAGAGAACGTCTTTGTGGAGATCATATTCACACAAGTATAATTTTATATGCGCACACACAAACACATACACGCACGCACGCACGCACGCACGCACGCGCGCGCACACACCTGTAATAAATTATCAGTCCCTAATTAATGTTCAATTTAGAACATTTTGATTTGAATAAAAAAGGACTATATATCATTTCTCAATTTCAATTCCACCCCACCCACCCCAAAATTAGAATAAAAATTATTATAGTTGTGATAAATTTTGGAACGCCCTTCTTTTCCTGTGTCAGTTTCTCATCACCCCCTGCTCAATTCTCCAAACCCAATCTCGCCCCCAACCCCACCCCACCCCTGTAGTCAATGACCAGTCCCTAATTATATTCTGGTAATAATACGTCATTGGGGAGACGCTTGATGGACATGCCTTTAAGTGGCAATTAAGAAACTCTGTAGCATGTTTTTGTTCCGCCCAATTTTAGTTCCGACCAGGACAAATATCAGGATTAAATACATAAAATTGCATTGAAATGTTCCGACCCTGTAGTGAAAAGGTTTTTTTTGCGGTTGACGTTAACAAAGGTTTTGGTGTGTTTATGAGCGATGTTTCCGTGTGTTGTTAATGTGCAACATAAAAAAGGAAACTAAGACATGCAATCGCAATACAAATAAACATAATCTAAAAGAAAAACAAAAGAATATGATGAAAAAGAAAAGCATGAAACAAATACCGATAGTTAGTTAATGATAAAGGCAAATGTGAAAACATGTAATTATGACAGAAACAGATAGAATGCAGCGCCCCAAACGCAACCGAAATCGTAGGTACTGTTGCACGAGATTTCCAAGCAATAATCGTGTTTATGTAAAAATAAATAAACAAAATGCAGTCGCCAGTGAATACTACGGCTGTCGCAATGAATTATCACGAACACTTAACGGAAAATGAGGTTTTTATACCATGGTAACAGATATATATTAAAAATGATTTTTTTGTTTTTTTTCCAAAATGTTAACGAAATGTCAAATAAGAATTTTCACACATAAAGCATGTTCCAACCGGAACTTGTACTTGAATACATTTCAAATATTTGTTCCATGCTTAAAATTCAGGTATTCTTTCTCTCTCAAAGAAGACAAAACAACAAGAAAAAGAAAATAACTAAGTCCCATTTTTAATGTAGCCCAATCACAAAATCCCTCAGGCATTTGACAGTTTCACAAGGTAGAACATACAGTATGTTTGGTTTACTGGAAAGTTGGATAAGTTGAAAGCAAGAAAGTATTTATTCTATATTCAACAACAAAAGAGTCCTTTTCAAACAAGTAAAGTTTGGTTTTAAAAATGGTAGTACAAGTATGGAATCAGGTCACAAAAATGCAACTGCAACAGAAAAGCATGCATTCCATGCAAAAGTTGACTTTTATGCAAGCCCCATGCATTTCACTACCCAAGAATGGGTATAAAAACATGTGCGAGAACGGGATTCCATATGCATTGTTTAGCATCGTGCTGACAACAACCACTCAGAAAAACAACAAAATTACGCAATTGTTCAACATTACGAAATGCCACGCCTGTCCGAAAATGAGCGTCTGCGAGTCATTGGTGTGCTTGAAGCAGGATCGAGTCAACGTGATGTTGCAAGACAATGTAACGTCCACAGAAACACCATCTGGTGTTTATGGCAACGTTGGCAACAGACGAATGCAGTCAGAGACTATCCTCGGAGTGGCAGGCCAAGCGTAACCAATAATCGACAAGACAACTGGATTCGTACGAAATCGATTCCAGCCAGCAACAGTGACTGCAAGAAGCACCCCTGGCCTTCGATGAATATCTTCACAAACCGTACGTCGCCGCCTCATATGTGCAGGGATTGTCGCCAGAAGACCTGCCAGACGTCCCATTTTGACAGGAAACCACCGTCAAGCACGTCTACAGTGGTGCAGACAGCGTCTACGCTGGACGGCCATGCCGTGGGGCAAGTTCTATTCACTGACGAGTCTCGTTTTCACCTCAGCCACAGCGATGGACGGATTCGAGTGTACCGACGTCGAGGTGAACGTTACGTCAATCATTATGTCATGGAAGAAGTTGGGTTCGGGGGCGGCAGCGTTATGGTATGGGGTGGGATTGCAGCAAGACAGAGAACCCGTTTGATAGTGGTAGAGGGAAATCTCAATGGACAGAGCTACCGCGACGAGATCATCGGCCCTGTTGTTCTACCGTTTTTGCGTCGTCATGGCCCAGGCACTACCTTTCAACATGACAACGCCCGGCCTCATATTGCTCGACTTGTTCAGGATTCTCTTCAACAAACAACGTGAATGTCATCCCCTGACCGGCTCGCTCCCCTGATCTCTCACCAATCGAGCACATGTGGGATGAGATGGATCGGCGCCTTTGACGTCAACCACGTGTTCCATAGACACTCCAGGAACTTCGAAACATGCTCCAGCAGATATGGACAGATATCCCACAGGACTTTGTGCGACGCCTGGTCCATTCCATGAGACGAAAAGTGTTGCTTGCATCGCAACCAGAGGTTGACACACACGCTATTGATTTGTAAGTTGACATTTTGGCATGTTCATGTTTTCATTAATGAAATCACGCATTTTCTGAAGTCAGTATGGTATTAAACCATTTGAAAACTAACAGGAGTATTTTATCTTTTGCAAACCGAAATTGTTTCAGATTTGGTAAAAAGCATAACTTTGCATTAAATCTTATTCAATGTCACAGGAACTTTTGTTGTTCAGTATAGATTTTCTACATATAGGCCAAGGTTTTTTTGTGAATCATAGAGAATTTAACCCTCGAGGAGGAGAAGCAGTGTGTATACATACTTCTACTGTGAATGGTGTCAAAAGAGTTATTACTGAATACACGGATATTAGTTTTTGTCGTTTTTGACAAAACTGTATTCCCATTTGACCAATGTGTTGTTATTGCTTCTGTTCATGTACACCCCGCAAATACACCAATGCAGACTGATAATAGGTTCTTCAAAGGTATAGAATACTTCGAAAGATCTCTTATAGCCGTTATCAGAAACCATATACTGATACATGGTCTCTGTCGTTATATATGACGCGTATATACTCCCTGCCCATTTACGACATATCATGTTTGTACAGTCTGTACACACGACTTATTTATATTATGTGATCGTGTTTATTTTGTTTGACAAAACGCATATTACGCCCATTAGTATTATTTGTTTAATTACCAAGATATTGGCCTCCGTTGTTGGTTAAGAAATGTATTTTGAAACAGACGATAGATAGTCACCGACGAGGTCAAAGGTCTAAGTTATGGGAAGGTGAAGGACGTCAAACACATGACTCAGGAAGTGGTGAGTGTTAGGAGACTAACGAGTGAGAGAACCAATATGGTAGATTCAATGACAGAATCACAGACTTGTAGAAAATACTGCATGGATTACCGACCGACTTACCTAAGACTTCCAGGGTTTGCGCAGAACTTTTCTATATCTCAAATATCTGTAACATGTCTGTGTGGGTTGTAAGGGGAGACAATCAGACATGTCCATGGTCCAAGTTTCTACAAATTCCCGAGGTGACCCGGATAGGAACAGGTGCATGGTTGGTGCTAACACGGTCGTGTCTGTTAATAGATGAACAGCTGAATATAGGGCAGTGTGACATAGACTTGTTCCCCGATGACGGCAGATGAAATTTCTGATTCATTTTGAAGCACCTGACCACATTTGAAGCACAGCCAAAGTCCAGGGTCCCGTTCAGCAATGCGATCTTAGCGCTACGACTGACGGAAGTCTGCATTTGAAGGATGGAAGTTACGATCGTCCTAGCACTACATGTCATTGTGGAACGGGACGCTGATCAGCTGACAACACACTTTTACCTTAAAATGCCGGAAATCACATTTCAGAGCTTTTAAACTAAGACCATCCAGAGTAGTGTCAGAGACCAAACAAATTAAAATGAATTTATTTTATGATCTCGTAGTGTCGATTAAAACAGTCCACATGTCACAGTGATTGCGTATATCCATTGTTTAATGTGACATTCTACATTATTCCACATACCCAGTTCATCAGGATTGGGGGGGGGCAGGGGTGGCCCAGTCGTCTAAGGTGCCGCGATTCGCTGTGCAGAGTTGCGTCTCTTGGGCACGCCAGAAACCTATGATTGTGGGTTCGAATCCCGGTTCGCTCCAATTATGTTTCTAGGTTTGTCAGCACCATACCCGTGCTCGTGAGTTTCACCCAAGTGGTAAACATCTGAGACCTGCATCACTTCGGGCTTTCCTCCCACATTAAGCTGACACGCCGTGATATAACTGGAATACTGTTAAAAGCGGCGTTAAACCCAACTCACACACACACACACACATCAGGATGGCCTATAAATAATGAAGTCTAGACTAGGGCTGGGACGGATCACTTGAGTACTTGGTCGGGTGGGTACTGAGTAGGACCCGAGTACCCACAGTACTAACCAGACCCGTGGTTAGTCACATGACATATTGTTTAATGACAAAAATTATCTCGAACTCTATGGTTACACTATAAGTCACTAATGTTTGCATTTCTTTCTGACTATACACCCATTCCTTCTGACCTTCATATGTTTGAATAAAGATATAACTTCAGTGAACATCAGTGTATGAATGACCAGATCGTTTTTCACTTGTATCTAAAGACATTTTGCCAGAGCTACAGTCAAACTATTCCCAATTGAACACTGTGTACCAAACTCTTGAGACCGGGTAGGGTTGGGTAATAGCAGAGTGCTTCAATCAATTTGATTGTTCAATCAGAGTAAGGATAAGGCATATGGATGACCACCTCCTTATTACAATCAGGAGCGAAGTTTCAGTGTAGGTTCTAAACTTGACGCTGTGCATCCGGTTCCCAATTAAATTTAGCAGGGTTAAATCTACAGGTGACCTAGCTCTACATTGAAAAAGCAGTGTGTTTATGTTCTAATTTTATATTCTGTCATGACCTGTAAATGTTTTGAAAAGTATATGTTAATTTACAATTATTTGTGTCAATAGAGATGTGATAGCGTCACAATCATTGCTCAGTACGTACACGTTCTGGACTAACATTTCGTTCCAGAAATAAAGTTATCTTATTTAAAAATATACATCAACAAAATGAAAAGTTAAATCCAAATAGAGCCCAGAACAATTCTTAATTCATTCTAGACTTGATTGGGATTTAATGTTTGATGGGGCTGTGGGGTAGCCTAGTGGTTAAAGCTTTGGCTTATCAAGTTGAAGGCCCGAGTTCGATTCCCGACATGTGTACAATGTGTGAAGCCCATTTTCCGGTGTCCCCCACCATGATATTGCTGGAATATTGCTAAAAGGGGCACAAAACCATACTCACTCTCTCACTAATTTTTAGTTTAATCTCTAGGGTCTGGTAGAAAGACTAAACAAATCTAAGCATGTAAAGTTCCCTAGTTTATTCTCTCACGTCCATTCACAGTTACTGGTAATTGCCTGCCAGATGAATTGTATACCTGGGTAGAAAATCAAAAAAGCAGTAAATTTGTTTATTGGTGATAATTATTAGGGCTGTGTATTGACCTGGATTTTGTATTGCAATATATTGCCTTACTTTAAGCTGTATTGTGATATGCATTGCAATATATTGCCAATTTACATTTTCATTATACCCTGTATTAATGTCCGATACCATAAATCTGTGTCCCTCACTATTTTTCCTTTTCAGTGAATAAATGTATGATAAAGAGATTAAAGAATAAAAACAAAACAAGAGGAGCTTGATAGTCGCAATGTGTACACGCTAATTGATAAAAAGATCTTCAGAGGCAAGTTGTATCAGATAAGATACTTGTAAGATACTTTTTTCCATCTCCATATCGTTTAGGAACACATAAATATACTTTTTTATATTTGCCCAAATATATTTCTACATTTACAAACGTATCGCAATACGTATTGCTGAAGATTTGCACCACAATATACCAGTGTACCGGTAATACTGCACACCCTTAATAATTATTAACAAAAACAATCCTAATCTGAGGGCTAACTAGATTTAATTAAGTAACTAAGATTACATAAAAAAACATGTTTCTCAGGTACTTGAAAAAGTGGGGAGGGCGGTATGACCTTTGAAATATTATTTATTGAAAACAAAGTGAGGAGGGAGGAACACACACATTTTGGATCATGGCGTATATCATTTGATGCATGAATGTTTTCAAAAATGTTTTATTGGCAATAAAAAGTAATGTTGTGCCGGAGTTAAATTGACATGCCGATTTCCTGAGAAACTTTTCCCTGTTTTTAGCCTTTTTTAAGTATTGAATTGGTATTTTATGGACACAGGTAGTGAAGTGGTAAGTGAACCATTTTATGGACACAGGTAGTGAAGTGGTAAGTGAACCATTTTATGGACACAGGTAGTGAAGTGGTAAGTGAACCATTTTATGGACACAGGTAGTGAAGTGGTAAGTGAACCATTTTATGGACATGGGTATTGAAGTGGGAAGTGAACCATTTTATTGTCACAGGTGGTGAAGTGGTAAGTGAACCATTTTATGGACACAGGTAGTGAAGTGGTAAGTGAACCATTTATGGACAGGTAGTGAAGTGGGAAGTAAAGAATTTTATGGACACAGGTATTGAAGTATTAAGTGAACCATATTATGGACACAGGTATTGAAGTGGTAAGTGAACCATTTTATGGACACAGGTAGTGAAGTGGTAAGTGAACCATTTTATGGACACGGGTATTGAAGTGGTAAGTGAACCATTTTATGGACACAGGTAGTAGAGTGATAAGTGAACCATTTTATGGACACAGGTATTGAAGTGGTAAGTGAACCATTTTATCGACACAGGTATTGAAGTATTAAGTGAACCATATTATGGACACAGGTATTGAAGTGGGAAGTGAACCATGTTATGGACACAGGTATTGAAGTGGGAAGTGAACCATGTTATGGACACGGGTATTGAAGTGGTAAGTGAACCATTTATGGACACAGGTAGTAGAGTGATAAGTGAACCATTTTATGGACACAGGTATTGAAGTGGTAAGTGAACCATTTTATCGACACAGGTATTGAAGTATTAAGTGAACCATATTATGGACACAGGTATTGAAGTGGGAAGTGAACCATGTTATGGACACAGGTATTGAAGTGGGAAGTGAACCATGTTATGGACACAGGTAGTGAATCGGTAAGTGAACCATTTTATGGACACAGGTATTGAAGTGGTAAGTGAACCATTTATGGACACAGGTAGTGAAGTGGGAAGTGAACCATTTTATGGACACAGGTAGTGAAGTGGGAAGTGAACCATTTTATGGACACAGGTAGTGAAGTGGTAAGTGAACCATTTTATGGAAACAGGTAGTGAAGTGGGAAGTGAACCATGTTATGGACACAGGTAGTGAAGTGGGAAGTGAACCATTTTATGGACAGGTATTGAAGTGGGAAGTGAACCATTTTATGGACACAGGTAGTGAAGTGGGAAGTGAACCATTTTATGGACAGGTATTGAAGTGGGAAGTGAACCATTTTATGGACACAGGTAGTGAAGTGGGAAGTGAACCATTTTATGGACACAGGTAGTGAAGTGGGAAGTGAACCATTTTATGGACAGGTATTGAAGTGGGAAGTGAACCATTTATGGACACAGGTAGTGAAGTGGTAAGTGAACCATTTTATGGACACAGGTATTGAAGTGGGAAGTGAACCATTTTATGGACAGGTATTGAAGTGGGAAGTGAACCATTTATGGACACAGGTAGTGAAGTGGGAAGTGAACCATTTTATGGACACAGGTAGTGAAGTGGGAAGTGAACCATTTATTGACACAGTTGAAGTGGGAAATGAAATTTCCAGTAATAACCTCACTGCTTGCTGAGGAGGAGCATTTCTTTATTTTGTACCTTGTGACAATACATCAACAGCACACTTTGTGATTCAGGCATCTGAGATGGAAACATTTACATCGACACATACTGACTGTTTGGATTAGGGCTGGGACGTGTCCAAACTTACTACCCGGGTACCTGAGCCCGTTACCCGACCATACCAGGGTACTCACTGTAGGTCTCAAGTTGGGTACATAATGTCCGATTAGGAATTGTGTTACCGGAGCCCTTGCAAAAAGTATTAAGATACACATATAAAACAATCTCATCATGCATACACTGAAGTTGACTGAAGCATCATCTGTACCCGAGCATATCAAAGTCGGAAGGAATGTGTGCATTGTCATCATCAGGTCTGTCTGTCCGTCTGTATCTTGTTTCCTGAGCATAACTTGAAAACCATGAAACATTATCCATCCAAACTTGGTACATGTATTAAACCTGGGGCTGAAGTGGTGCCTTTTGCTATTGTAGGTGCCAGGGGGATTTGTCATCTTCTGATGACTCTTGTTTGTTATTGCTGTCAAACCATATATCACATGACTAACCACGTTCTGGGTAGTCCTGTGGGTACCCGGGTCCTTCTAAGGACCCACCCGACCCGAGTTACCTGTCCCAGCCCTAGTATGAATGTGGTCAGTTCAAAGTCCACCACATACTCAAATAGGATTCTAAGGCAGAATAGGTCCCGAGAGCCAACTTATCAGGTTCAGGTGGTTAAAATGGGTGACCTGGATGATTGTGTGTGATTGTTCACCACTAGAATGGATCATAGGTAACTTGATAATACTGTCAGTTGCTTGCTTTTTCTTACCTTTGATATTTACAAGTTGCCCTGATATTGCTAGGATATAGCTGACTACAAGTGTAACACAACATTCACTCACTAAAACATGAGGATTCCGGGTATGAATGTAGGTCCTCAGTGTCACAAATCAAAAGCAAAACTAAGAATATACAGCACACATTATTACAAACGAAAAAGAAAAATACTTTAGGTTGAATATATTTATTACAGTCAGCAATATTTCACATCAGGGTAAATGGCATATATAACAAAAGATAATAGTGTTGAGAGTTCTCCTTGTTTTACACAGACAAGCAGTATAGTCAATACAAACACTGTTCCTGCAGGGTCCAAATATGAATATAACATTCCACACTAAAATAGAATTCCGTCATAGCATTCAAATGTCCTTTTTACACATGTTCAGGTGTCCCATTTAAAGGTCCGTGATGAATGTCCACGCAATATCACACTAAGGCAAAGCCTTTCTTCTAGCCAGGTCTCGCGACAGTGAAAGATCAACTGTGTCTTAAAACTGCTATGACATGGATTTATATAACAAAGTCAGAAACGAAACACATACTTTTCTCATGTCAAAATGGTGAGTTTGGGCGACCTGTTCCAGTATTAGGGATGACATCTACCCCTACCAAAATACATCCCAAAAGTAATGATAAAACAGCACACGTGACACTCAGTGACCTATTGTCATAAGAGGCAGCTAAATGGACTTGGTTGGTTACATGTCATTGTTTCCCAATTGCGTGCATCAGTGCTTATTATGTCAATCACCTGATTGCCTTGATTTGACTTGATAAGTTACAGACCACTTCCAACCCATGAAGATACGGGTTAGAATTGATCTTCAGCAACCTATGAATAAACCACGTCAGTGATCCCGAGGCCGGGCTTAATGAACTGGTTGATGCATGTCGTGGTATCCCAATTGCTTAGACTATTTACAGACTGCCATCATATAGCTGGAATATTGCTGAGTGTGGTGTTAGGCAACAAACAAATAAGCAAAACATATATTTACAGACCGTGATACAACGTAGCTGATATATTGCGGCACATAATAACATTCACACATTGACAGGAAACGATGGGACACGTTGTATTGTAATGAACATAAAAACAACAGCAGTCTAATCACAACATTAGCTGGAATATTGCTGAGTGCGGTGTTACACTAGACACAATAAAACACGGATGCCCCATGATTGGTATTGACTCACAGCATGTTTCTTTCAGGTAGAGGAAGTGGTAGATGGTGACCTCCAACCCAGCCTGCATCCTCTCCAAGCCATGGAAGATTCACCTTGTGTGGAGACGATCTGAAGAGTCAGGGTCTCATTTACAACCAACAATACCAGTACCAACCAATGACTAAATGCAGTTTTCCTGGTACTGTGACTAAGAACACTTTACATCATGCCATACTTTATATGCTACTAGTGAAGAAGTAACAGCTTGAAAACCATCTTTGAAATATTTCTTCAGCTGATAGAAAAAGTCGTCAATCCGCATCTGCTGAGTTAGGTAGTGAGCAACATTCTTGAAATATGTTTAAATGTCAACAACCACCTTAAAGTCTGCATCAAATCCGTAATCCGTAAACTCCCTGAAAACCCACACCTCTTCAGAGACCCTATAGCTTTATGAAAAACTGCTTGCATCAAAGGCGGTCTGCAACATCCCTGAAACCACATCTGTGCAAGGACCTCACAACTTAAACAGTAACAGCATGAATCAAAGACCATCGGCACCATCCTTGAAGTATTGCTGTACTTACATCATCTGATTGTTCAAGGTGTAACGATGCATCTGTAAAGAGTAACCTTCTTGAACACCTACATCTCTACTACACAGCCTCCTGGTCAGCCAACAGCAGCAGCACCATGAATGTCCTGCAGCAGTTGTCGGACCAGCACCTCAGCTGCAGCATCTGCATGGAGTTGTACACTGATCCTAAACAGCTGCCGTGTCTTCACAGTTTCTGCAAGCACTGCCTGTCAACACACATCCTGAAGAAGGTGGCTGGCAGTGGTGACGTGTCCTTTCCTTGTCCTATGTGCAGGAATATGTGTAAGCCTACAGATCCGGACCCCAATAAGTTGATGACATGGGTAGACTCCTTCCCGGACAACTTCTATATCAAGAATCTGATGGACACTTTTGAGACACAGAGTCTGACTACTGGGTCTTTAACAGTGGAGGATAAACTGCAATGTTTGGCTGTTGAGGCAGAGTCATGTGCAAGGCATAAGAAAGAGAAAGTGTTGGCATACTGTGTTGTGAGGAAGGGTGGAGCCTGTGGACTGTGTCTGAAGAGCTCAATCCATGACGACTGTGCCAAAAGTCATCTGACTCTAGATAAAGCTCAGAATCTTGCAGGAAAGCGTTTAGAAGATTTTAAGAAGAGAGTAGGGACTCTGTCTTCAAGGATTGAAACAGTTGGTCAAAAGCTGCCTTTAAAACCAGATGAACTCAAATTTAAGAGGGAAGAATTGGCACTTGAGATTTCTCAACATTTCTCTGATCTGAAGACAAAGATAAACAAGCTACTTCTTCAGAAGGAGAAGGAGACTACAGATGAACTAAAAAATGTAATTGATAAGGAAAATGGAAAAATAACTGAAGCAACAACTGAAGCAACGTTTTTATCAGCATCACTGAAAAACACAGAGCAGCTCTTTGATAAACTTCTTCAGAGCAGACCCGTGGAGACCCTGTCCCTGGCAGAGAAAGTAGAGGAGCAACTAGCTACTTACGAGAGAGGAACAAAGAAGGCAGAGAACATTTGTGAAAAGTTGGACATTAAGTTACTTCAAACTGAGGATAATCTTATAGCTATGAGGAACATGCAGTGGGGCAGAATTCTTGTTGGTGAGGAGGATGTGGATGAGGTAACAGATGCTCAGTTGTTTGCATCTTCAAGAGAGCTGGGAGCACCTTCTTCTGCAGGAAAGTCATTGACCCTGCCTGCTTCATCTGTGAGAAGAGATGCCTCTAAGCATGCTGAAAGGTTCCCTCGACCTGATGGACGTACAGCTAGTGCACTATCTGCTGAGGAACAGAGGGCTTTAGAGAATAAGCTGTCTGGTGATGCTTCGGTCAAACCAAACATGACCCTTCCCACAGTTGAACCTTTGCCTCGTGTGTCTCCTCGAACAGAGGTATTTCCAACCCAGTCAGTTCCAAGACAAAGTGCCATTGTTCCAACCATTGTGTCAAACTCGGCTCAACTTGAGAACTCTTTACAAGCAACAGCTTCAGCTGTATCTAACACAAATGTAAGGAATGTAGCTCCTAGTCAGGAATTCCACCTGAATCCCACCCATGATTTTAATGGTCTGTGCCCAGATGATGTCCACTCTTCTAGTTATGTGGGTGGGTGTCCATTTGGACAGAACTGTCTTCTCATAGTGGACAGATGGAACAAGAAGCTGAAGCTCATTCAGGTGGGTGGAAGGACTCTGTTGTTCCATGCCTTTGCTGACACTCTGGAGCCCTGGGATGTGGCCTACATTAGTCAGGACAGAGTAGCTGTCACCTGCCCCAGCACCAGCCAGATCCTCACCATCTCTGTGACCAGTTCCTCCATAGACATCAGTAGGTTCATCAAAACTGTCATCGGCTACTCAGCAATTGCCCACTTAGAGGGACCTAGGTTTGCTGCAGGTGTGTGTAAACCATTTGGAACTCCGCGAGTGGATATCCTGGACTGTTCCTCTGATAAAGCAAACATTCTCCGAGAGCTCCCTTCGACCGTGAATGTGACCTACCCCCGAACGATGGGTCTCACCCTGAACAGGGACCTCTTTGTCTGCGACTGGAGTCTGAAGGAGATCTCTGTGTTTGACAGGAATGACTTCATGCAGAAGCTGCGCTACAAAGGGGCAGGGAAAGAGGGGGTCCTCCGAGAGCCCGTGGGGGCCACCAAGGACAGACGAGGCAATCTGTACATAGCAGACAGGAAGACCAAGAAGATTCATGTGGTGTCCTCAACCGGAACCCGTTTGGCGCTGCTGACACTGGACATTCCCAGTGACCCCAAGGTTATTGTGATAGCCGAGGTGGAGAGACGGTACTCTACGAGTGGGGAAGTGTTGGTTGTAGCCACGGGGGGAGGCAGGCTATTTGTGTTTGATCTCATCACACCTGAAACACCATAGATGGGACACAGGTTCGGGCAATGCTTCAGTTATCCTGTTCAATCCTTATTGATGATGGTGTAAGAAAGCGTCTGTGATTTATTTGAGATGGCCCTGTGATTATTCTCGGATGGAGTTGATTTCAAATGTCCTTGCTTGTAGATAAAGATGATGTAAAATGGGGATAGAGGAAGGGGGAGTAGAATTAATCACTGGATTGTCATGTCTTTTCTAGTAGATGCCAAAAGTAAACAAATATATTTGGAGTGATTAGATTGCAGCCATGGTCCAACGGTTTACATGCCTTTTCTACATGGTGACTGAAATGATTCTTTGTTTTATTTTAAGAAATTGATTAAGGTGGTGAAATGATTTTGACATGACAGTGCAAGTACTCTGATGATTATCAGTTTCGATATCCAGCTCCGCCAACCTGACTGCGTAATGCATATAATGATTGTGGCAAATCACATCATTTTTACCTGATGTCAGAGAAAACCAATTTATTTCCAGGGAGGTAGTCTTGGATTTTCATTTGAGATGAGAAAATACTCTTCAGCACACACTTTGGTATTGATTAACAAAACCGTTGATGATTAATTACGCCTGCTTGTATCTGACAAGTTGTTTCCTTTCTCCCAAAATAGACCGAAAATTGTGTGATGTTTGAGCATTATCCGGAACAAGTTGTTTTGAAAAATATCAGTTACGCTTTAGGATTTAAAATAGTCCGACTCCAGTCAAAGCCTATATTTACCAGGCTTTCTTCTTGTATATGGAGACGTGTCACTAGACCCTGGCCTCACACTTGTGGGGACTGCCTCCGTGGTCTTGTGCACAGCATAACAAGGACTGGTTGGCTCAGACATACACATACACAAACAGGGTACTGTTGTATAGTAAATATGAAGATAAGTCTTTGCGCTTCTGTACAATGTATGTATGTACTAAATGTGTTAAAAAAAGGTTCACAGTTGTCTATCTTAAGGCAAACTATAGCTGCTATTGTTGTTGTACCCATTACCGCATCTGACTGCACTTGTAAATTAGAACCATATGTGCTTCCACAGTCAGTTATCTCAGTTATTTCATTTGCGAGAGGACGGTAATATAAATGTTTCATTTGCGAGAGGACAGAAACTTAAATGTTTCATTTGCAAGAGGACAGAAACATAAATGTTTCATTTGCAAGAGGACAGAAACAAATGTTTCATTTGCGAGAGGACAGACACATAAATGTTTCATTTGCGAGAGGACAGAAACATAAATGTTTCATTTGCGAGAGGACAGAAACAAATGTTTTATTTGCGAGAGGACAGAAACTTAAATGTTTTATTTGCAAGAGGACAGAAACATAAATGTTTCATTTGCAAGAGGACAGAAACTAATGTTTCATTTGCGAAAGGACAGAAACATAAATGTTTCATTTGCAAGAGGACAGAAACATAAATGTTTCATTTGCGAGAGGACAGAAACATAAATGTTTCATTTGCAAGAGGTCAGAAACAAATGTTTCATTTGCGAGAGGACAGAAACATAAATGTTTCATTTGCTAGAGGACAGAAACATAAATGTTTCATTTGCGAGAGGACAGAAACATAATGTTTCATTTGCTAGAGGACAGAAACAAATGTTTTATTTGCGAGAGGACAGAAACATAAATGTTTCATTTGCAAGAGGTCAGAAACAAATGTTTCATTTGCGAGAGGACAGAAACATAAATGTTTCATTTGCGAGAGGACAGAAACATAAATGTTTAATTTGCAAGAGGACAGAAACAAATGTTTCATTTGCTAGAGGACAGAAACAAATGTTTCATTTGCGAGAGGACAGAAACATAATGTTTCATTTGCAGGAGGACAGAAACATAATGTTTCATTTGCAGGAGGACAGAAACATAATGTTTCATTTGCTAGAGGACAGAAACAAATGTTTCATTTGCCTGAGGAAAAAAACATAAATGTTTCATATGCTGGAGGACAAAAGACTATCACATCAGGATATCTTTGAAGAGGGTTTATCAGTGTGTAGATCACTATCTATTTATACATTTATGAATGATTTTGAACAAAGTTTGTGAATTAACAAAAAAGTACGTACACATTATGGCGAATCACTGATAACCTTTTCAACAGTTTCATATTGATTTGAGATTCTTTGGGCAGAAAAAATCGTAGTTCTATCTTTCAAAATATTTCTTTTTCATTATAAATTTGAACATTATCCATGACTTTTCATTTATAAGGGGTGCGGGCTTAAATTACAATGATGCATAAAATGGGGGTTGGGGTGGGGGTAGGGTTGGGGGTTGGGGCAAATTGTAAATAAGGATACAGTTCTAAGACCAACCCTCCCCACGTTCTTTAATAAATTACCAGTCTCTAGGTAATCAACTTTTGGCCCTACAAGATGCCAAGAAACTTTGGCACGACTGTTAATTATTTCCAGACATTTGGAAGCTGAATTCGATAGCGTGATCAGGCAGGGCATGGTTAAAGGGAGATAACTCGTATGGGCAGTGATTTTAGTAACGTTTTATAATAGTTGTAAACACGATAGGGGTGAATTCTTTTCAACTGTAAGTGAATTAATTAACTAAATGCGCGGAGAAGTATACTTGGAGTACGGATGAGCATAGCTAAGATTTGGTGTGGAGTGTGTAGAAGAACTCTTGTTTTGAATATGTGGGAAGTTTATGTAATTCCTAAAATATCATTTTTTATATAAAACCCATGTCTCTACAGTTTTTGTTTTAATTTTGTTCACCTCTGTTTACAGTAAATTGGATTGATTAACATGCCTACCTTGTCTAACCAGCGAAGTCACTCATCCCAGACTATTACTGGGTTGTCTAATTGCTAACTTTTTCAAACAAAATAGGAGCAGGTTGATACTGTTAGTGGGTCGAGCGTCTGCCAGGAGAACAGAATTTGGCTGGTAAAACCACCCTGGCCGCGTCGACCTCCTCCGTGGTCTAGTGGTAGAACGGAAGGTCCGGGGTTCGATCCCCGGCCGCGTCATACCAAAAGACGTTAAAAGATGGTACTTGTTGTTACCCTGTCTGGCGCTCGGCGTTAAAGGGCTAAAACAAGGACTGGTCGGCTCGGAGTCAGTATACTGTGTCTGAGTGGGGTATTTATGTTACACTGCGGCATGGTATCTCAGTGTGCTAGCACTATAAATCGGCATCAGTCCGGACTAGTAAAAGCAGCCACACACACGTGCCTGCACGTCGCTAAATAAGTGCAATATTCTTGGACGCGACGTTAAACCCCATTTCACCTCACCTCACCTCACTTCACCTCACCTCACCTCACCTCACCTCACCTCACCTCACCTCACCTCACCTCACCCTGTCCGCGTTATACCAAAAGACATGGAAACATGGTACTCTGCCTAGCGTTGGTATATCTACTGTTGAGTACATCCTTAAGTTGTTTAAAATGGCGTTAAACCATACTCACTCACCACGCCGAAGGCTCGGTGACCCCCACCATGATATTGCGGGAATAATGCTGAAACGGCGTGTAACCAAACGCACTCATACTGGTCCTCGGAGCTGAATTAACCTGATAACCAAAGCACTTGTCATTACGCCTGCAGCTCATGGTGACACCACTAACAGATCTGAACCTGGATTTTCTCTATAACAGTGCCCTGGCTGTGACTATAGCCTGTGTATCCCCGTGTATGGCGCCGAACCAGGGTTAAATAATGAACGTTTTCTCGTTCTTTTCATGAGTATGCATGGTAGTGTGTACATTGTCAGCAAGCGAGGATAAAGATTTTTTTGGAAAACAGACCATCATACAAGGTAAATACAAATTATCCCAGAAGAGTGTTTGGGTTGGTGGTCATGTCATTATGATTAATTTACACGTTATGATTTCGATCACCTTTACAACTTCCAAATTCAAAAACGTTCAGGATGTTTCAAAAATTGGCTGGGGGTTGTTAGTGGAGTCGAACCCTTGCACCCCGTATCCAACACCTCCATCCGACTACCTGCAAGGTACTTCTCAAAACCCCAAACACTGAAGATCCCGTGAAGACCCGGGGTAGAATAGGTCTTCAGCAACCCATGCTTGCCGTAAAAGGCGACTAACAGGATCGGGTGGTCAGACTCGCTGACTTGATTGATACATGTCATCGATCCCGATTGGGTGGATCGATGTTCATGATGTCAATCATTGGATTGTCTGGTCCAGACTCGATTATTTACCGACCGCCGTCATATAGCTGGAATAATGCTGAGTGCGGCGTTAAACAACAAACCAAACCAAACATTGAAGATCCCCGTGTGGTCGCATATGTTCTGTTACTGGTCCACAGATAGTTGAAACACGTATAACGACGCCAAGCAGTATACTTCCAGACACCCTAATCAGTTAGACTTAATTATATAATTTGTACATTGTGGTGAATGTAAGCATGCGTCGCGCAGACAAGGATAGTCGGGCCTGGGTGTGGGTTTTGGTGTAGCTTGAGCCGTGGTATTCTGGGAATAATAGTTTCCCAGTAGCCAATGCTTGTAAGATCCGACCAATGAGGATTGTGTACATGTGTCTGTCGTCTTGTGATCGCTGAATCAATGCTCGTGCATTCAAACTCTGGTTTGCCTCAGATTACCGGTGTGATATATCGGGAATATCGATGAGAACATTCACTCACTCACCGCAACATGTTGGAAGTATTTCAGACACATCAATACGGTAACCTTGCACACCAATTGTTGTGTTATTGACGACCGTACATCTCTACTGATGTAGTGTCTCCCTTAACGTTGTTGACCGTGCAGATTCGGATCATTTTCCCTTAGAAGTGACATGTTACTTCTCTCGGAGGAAGCCACCCGTAGTTAACGATTAAACATATCCAAACAACTGATAGTATACATGTGTGGGATGACTCCAACATAAACTTATTTTCAAAATCAGCTGAAGATTGGCTGAATAGTTATGAAAACTGATTGATGGAACACTGGGAATAAAATCTGGAAGATGGGAATGCTGGTTTTGTGAAACGTTTTTAATAGACGCGGTGAAGTGCATGCAGAGACGTAAACCACGACGTTATCATAGTCGCCATGATAAACAAGCCGTAGGTTTAGGAGTAGATTATCAAGACGTGCAGCTCGGACGGTTTTACGGAAATTCGGATGCCAAAGGACGGATTATCGTAGGAAACTACTGTAAATTTAGACATATCTACAATCAACATGTAGGAAACTCAAATCGGACATCCAAAGATCAAGACTGACCTGCTTCTGCATATTGAGGATGGTCTGAGGGGTGGGATTTCCATGACCACTCATCGCCATGTCAAATCCAATCATGACCAGGTCCCCGGTGTCTGGCTTTGGCTGAATGAAAGTAAAATTCATTCAGTAGACATTACTCAGTTATCGGATGAGTGTTCGGAAATATTATGTTAAAAATTGACTTGAACTATCTTCATTAGCTGCCTGATCTTACAATGAATATCCTCTAGCTCCTGAACAGGACGTTGGCAAACCTCGGAAGCTTTTACTGTAGGCCCATACCTTTAACATGCACAAAAGTGTCTCATCTCTCCCCTTTAGAGGTGAGTGAAATGGCGTTTCACATCGCGTCAGATATTATTGCACATTTATGGCGACGTGTGTGTGGCTGCTTGTACTTGTCTGATGTCGATTTATAGTGTTAACCCACTGAGATACCATGACGCAGCGCAACATGAATACCCCACTCAGACACAGAATACTGACTTCGAGCCGACCAGTCCTTGTTTTAGCCCCTTAATGCCGAGCACCAGACAGGGTTACAAGTACCATCGTTTAACGTCTTTTGGTATGACGCGGCCGGGGTCGAGCCCCGAACCTTCCGCTCTCCGGGTGGACGCTCTACCACTAGACCACGGAGGCGGTCTCCCCCTTTTCGACTTCAGATACATTAGATTTATGTTATATTTTAAATATTGATCGATGTTCATGATGTTAATCAATAACTTGTCTGGTTCACACTCGAATATGTATAGCAATCGTTATATAGATGGAATATTGCGGCGGGCGGCGTTAAACACCAAAACAAATAAACACTAACGTGCATAAGGTATCATCTGCAATGCTCAACAACGATAACGGTCATATCATTAAGCGTTGGTTATGTTTTCCCTGCACATGGAATAATTCAGACTTGACAAAACAATCTAAATCTGATACGTGCATTTCTGCATTCACTAGTTATGAAGTCGTTTAAGTACCTCCCAGGGTCAAGACATGGTCATGTATCTTTAACATCAGATATAGAGCTGTAAGTTAAGTAGCATACCCATTCCTGAGAAAACGTATCAAAGTAGTAGCAGTATACTCTTCGTTGTAGTAGACTGATCACAATGGTACCTGTGAAGATCCGGGGTAGAATAGGACTTCAGCAACCCATGCTTGCCGTAACAGACGACTATGCTTGTCGTAAGAGGCGACTAACGGGATCGGGTGGTCAGGTTCGCATGTCATCGTATCCCAATTGCGTGGATCGATGCTCATGACATCAATCACTGGATTGTCTGGTCCAGACTCGATTATTTACAGACCGCCGTCATATAGCTGGACTATTGCTGAGTGCGGCGTTGAACAACAAACAAAGAAAGATAAGAAAGATTACAATGGGAATCGAATGACGCGTCACAGTCTATGATTTCACGTGCAGGCACACACTAGCGTTTGGGCGAAGCTGTCCAATGCCGGGAACAACCTCACACTTTTCGTCCCATTTCGCCTACTTATCATTTAGCTCTGCGCTATTATCCCTCCAGGCTCAGATGCAGTTGATGGACATTTTAAATGTTTTCAACACATCTCACCAAATGAGTTATATATGGTAATACAATGAATTTTCACGTAATAAATAATAGATAAATTACTTATCTCAAGAGATATTACTTGTCTTTTATATTTTGGACAACCTAGCTGCGCGCTCATTGCTGCATGTGCGAAATTGATTGGCGACTGTCGAATCCATAGGGCCAATCATTTAAGTATTGGTTTTTGCTCAATATTTGACATATTTCCTAAATTCATTCTGACATATTTGATCATTACTGGTCGATATGAGAGCAAGATAAAAAACTATCCAACCCGCTTGTGCATATGATTGTAAACCCTGGAGTCTAGAGCCTTAGGGGCCAGACATCTTGCATCGCCCTCGGGTCTTACTTTCCTCGCCTTTCTGCCACCCGCTTTTGCAATCTCAGTTGTCTTATTTCAAGTGTAACCTCGGGGCTCTGTTTAGCCTGACCATTGTCAATAATGGTTTACTTGCGTTACGTGACCGAAGGCCACATGTCAACGTGTAAACATTTAATTAAAATATCACTGACCCGGAGCACTTGTATATCTTTGGACTAGCATTAATAAGAGCTCGATTGTATTCCATGTTCTTATCACGCCAAGGGCCCGGGTTCGATTACTAAATGGGTACAATGTGTGAAACCATATCTGATGTCCACCTCCGTGTTATTGCTGAAATATTGCTAAAAGCAGAGTAAAAAAGAACTCCCTCACTCACTTTTCAATGTTTGCAGAACGATTATAATTTTGCTATCGAAAAAGCTTGATATCTTTAACATAAATATTGGTACGAAACTCGTAAAGTTGTTTAGTTAAGTCTCGCTTTCCGTACAATATTGTGTTACACCTGGTCTCTCATACAGACCCTGAAACAAATATATCCAATAGGATATCCATGCAAGTCTACTATATTTGGCAAGTCTAGAGTATTGTAGTTTCTTCTGAAAATGAAGTCTCTGGGCTCCTTTTTGTCATATTTTATTGAGATAATTTAACAACTGTTTTGTTTTTTTTAAATAATTTCATTTAAGAGACTAGATGTTAGTATATGGTATACCTGTCTACGTCACTTAAAAAGTCTTAAAGAGTTTGCTAATCCTCTTTGCTGTGTCAACAAGGGCTGTATGTGCACAGGTATATGCCAATAAGGATTAAGCTATTGTTCCTTATGTCTTGATTAAAATGAGGTGTCAACCACTGGCAATTAGAGTGTTTGTTGACGACGAGACGCAGCGTTTATACAAAACCTTTAGGGAAGCTAATTACTCGACGTTTCTTTTGTTTTAACGCGCGCCCTGCGGCCTTTAAACAAACATATCTCCCAGGCATGCGGAACTGCATTTAAGACATACACCGTTATAACGAGGATCGAGTGTATATAAAGACGGTATACCAGCCACCCGTGACCTAATTTCAGCTTTAGGTGTGGTTCGTGTTGTTTGAATACCGGCAACGGAAATAACACACAGCATTGAACATGGCGTCTGAGTCGCGTTATACCGAGGCGTAGGTCTATAAAGTAGTAGACTCCATGGTGACGTTTTGTTCACGTTGACAGCAGAGTCATACTTGACTGGTCATGAAGTTGACACAGGGAACATCCCTGAACTCGGTATGTATCCAACTGTCTGTACACGGCTCAAAACGCGACCTATGAGGTTAAACATTGTTTGAGGATATACCTGTGTGTGTGTGTACTGTCCACGTAGCCGTAATTCTAGTCATACCTAGATCGATATTCCGAGATTGCACGTTTGTACAGGAACACTCGTGTCGTTACGGACTAGGTCAGTTGCTCTGTATGTATTTCCCTGGACATGCACGAGGAGGACATTTTTTAATGTAAAGAAGTAGCTTCAAGGTAAGTTTTATCGCTATTTAGCGGATGTTAATCGGCAGGACAATGGTGTGGCGTCAACCGGAGTGTCGCCAGGAGCATGTCGGTGCAAGATGCACAATTCGATAAATCTATAAAATTCACTGATTAGGTGATCTAGCAGTGATCTGAGTATACCTTTGAATATATCATGCCTTACTTGATAAATAGAGTTTAATGTTAAATATAAATATACCTGGGTCATATCTACTTTAAAACATAGATGACATTTGTTTATTAGTCAACACGTTTATTAAGCCTGTGATTATGGCGTCACTCGATATGCTTGAGGAAGACCAGCTCTCTGCATTTGGGATCTACATCTAAACTGCCATTTCTCTGTCAGGAGTTTGATGTTAAAATTCTGTATTATTTGGCGTTTTAAATGTATTGTTATTAGAGATATACATACCTAAAGACCATAAACTGCTTTTCCCCACAAGCCATACAAACTCATTATTTAAGTTGTTAAACTCACGAATCGCTATGCTTGAATAACCATATATCTTGTCCATAACTTTAAAGCGACCGAACCCTTTCTATATTCATAACGGATATTAGATCAAATTGTTTCTTTCATATATAAGGTTATGATATTAAAACCGTGTTGTTTGGAAATATAACTCTGTCATCTGAAACATATATTACCCTAACAAAACGCCTTGAAAGCCTTTTAAGTATGTTAGACATTTTTAGTTCATTTATATATATTTGATGTTGAGCCTTTTATATTCCACTGTGTGTTGTGATATTTTATATGAATATTCTTGTGTCGGAGATTTCTTTAAATAGGCACAGCGCCTGTGGACCAATCCAATTTGCAGAAAATAAAAGATTGTTTAAACCATATTCATAAGAAATATCTGACAAAAACAGTCGATTGTACGATAAACCCGATTCATATAAATCATAGATTGAAGCTCGAGTGTTGTACATCCAGCTGCGGGTAGTTTTGTAAATGGAACTGTCTTGATACAGACAAATTGCCAGCTGACCAATCCATTGGCTATAAACACTTCTGAATAACTGCTCAGGCCATTTAATCAATTTCCCCAAACTTACTATCTCAAGGAGTCCTCCTATACTCAGAAACTAACAGTGATGAAATCAATTCAGTGATACTAAATACAAAGTGAGTGATGTGAACTATATTTCTTCACAGATTGATTAATGTAACTGTGAAGATACACACCAAAAACAGCTAGCCTCATGTTGTTCCGAGCATAATCGTCCGGATTAACAAATGCCCGGATTAACGAATCATTGGTATGTAGTAATGTCCTTAACGACGTCCGGATTAACGAGGTTTGAGCATGTTAGGGTAAAGCAGAGAGTCATATTAAGTTTTGATTTCTTTCAATCCCTGCCCTCTATCTCGACTGGAAATATATTTTCAGAGACTAAGCGTGAGTCTACCAGCTTTATCTGCACGGGAACATATATCTCCACTATGTAATCATCTCAAGTAAACAGTAGCAATTTAACAAAGCAGGCATAGTCAGGGATGAGTGACTTTGCTGGTTGCACAAAGTAGGCATGTTTGATCTACCCATTTTATTGTTAGCAGGGGTGCTCAAAATTGAAAGAAAAGACATTTATTTATCTTTTTATCTAACAAAGATACCTTCATTGTTCGCAAGAAAAAGATTAATCAAAGTCAAGCATACTCTCCTAGACTTGCAATTGACTTGGGGAGATACACAAATGTCCCATATACTGAACGATTATGTAAATATTGTATAGAAAATGGTATATCTTTTATTGAAGATGAATTTCATGTTTTACTTGTATGTGAGCGTTATTCAGCCCTAAGAAATATGTATCTTAAACAGTATATCAAGTTTCAAACTGTAACATCTTTTACTGAAATTATTTCATCAGAAAGCTTTGATGTTGTATATAACACATGTTTATATCTATATAAAGTCCAACGGCTAAGAGAAACTTAAATCGACTACTTCCTTGGCATGCGTAGTTCATGCAATCAACCATTGTCTGTATTATGGGCCTATGGCCTTCTTACTGAATAAACTGTCTGTCTGTCTGTCATACTCTCCTAGAAGATGTGAAACTCTGTCAGTATAGTTCAACTTTTGTCCTCGCGTCTAAGACCCTGCTCCACTGCCGCATACTGTCTGCGTCTCGTAGGTAATATTAATCTCTTTATTGACAAACTATCTTTGTTCACTTACATTTCTTTAATTAATCATATCCCATTTCTAATATAAGCAATATCTTAAGCTGTCCCTATCCAAACACCCCTAAGCCCACTGATAATCTCTCCCAAACAGATAATACGAGTCAGTGACTACACGGAAAACACTGAGCCATGCAGAAACCACTTGCATGGTCAGACAACCCAGGCATAGTGAAGCTCTATAACGCAGGCGACTCGGTTGTAGTCGAGTTAACGACGGTTGTCTATATCACTTGAATGACACGCCGGGTCACGCATCGTTATAAAAGATAACGCCAAGTGGTCGTTTAGTACTTTAGCAACTGGTATGTCATTTGGAACCCAATACAGACAACCAAGGGCAATATCTCAGCATTATACCACGGCGGACTGAAGTCAGTAATATCTCAGACTTATACCACGACGGACTGAAGTCAGTAATATCTCAGCATTATATCACGGCGGACTGAAGTCAGTAATATCTCAGACTTATATCACGGCGGACTGAAGTCAGTAATATCTCAGCATTATACCACGGCGGACTGAAGTCAGTAATATCCCAGCATTATATCACGACGGACTGAAGTCAGTAATATCTCAGCATTATATCACGGCGGACTGAAGTCAGTAATATTTCAGCATCATATCACGGCGGACTGAAGTCAGTAATATCTTAGACGTATATCACGGCGGACTGAAGTCAGAAATATATCAGACGTATACCACGGCGGACTGAAGTCAGTAATATCTTAGACGTATACCACGGCGGACTGAAGTCAGAAATATCTCAGACTTATGCCAATGTGGAATTGGAGATTCGGCATCGATGACGAGGAGTTGTCTGCGTTGCAGAATCTCATTGTCAACTCGCCGATATTTTTCGTATACGGACACTGCTAGACTGATCTTTAGTAAGTAAAAAAACTGAATAGGTTGTGATGAGACTGTCCAACGTTAGCTATCTAGTGTAACATACTCAATATTCACTAGAGCATGAGCCATGTTGAATGACAGCGCAATGGGGGAATTCTCTATTTGAAGGTCTAGTGTACTGTTATCAATTCTCTTAATTTCTGAAGTTCGTAAAGGGGGAATAGTCAGCTGGTTTCAGCTGAGCTCATTAGTGAGGGCTTGGATCGGCTGAAAGACAGACAGATTTGTATTATATACTTCAGTGTGAAAGACTGAGTTTTCTGAAGTTGAGAAAGGTGATATTTTCATTGCAGTGAACATAGCACTTGATATTTCACTACAGTGAACATAACACTTGATAGTTCACTGCAGTGAACATAGGATTTTGATGGAATTATTGTCATACAAGCGCTACCTCTCCCTTTATCGTAAGTGTCTAGGCTGATGGACAGATGGTCATTTATGGAGTTAATGTCACATCTTGCCGTTTGTTATTCTCTTGAAAATCTTTCGATATAAACTGTACATTTCTCATTTAACTCGTCAATTTGTTACTTGACCAGCGTGTATTCCTTCGCTTCCAACAGCGGTCTCGTAGCTTTCAAGAATATATATTTTTGAAGTTGATTTTCTATATAATCATATCGCGTGAAATATCATTCTTTAACTCGTGATTGAGGAAAGGAGATATTTAACTCGACACATTGAATATCCTGTATTTATTGCAGTATCACGCCAATCCATGACACTGTTACATAATAAAATACATATATGGGCCCCTCCTTACGGACGTAAGAGAGACCCTTCTAAAATGTATATTAAAAATAGAAGCTGACTAGCAGCTGTATAAAACACTTCCCTTTTTGTAAAATGTCATTGCAGGTTTTGGCGGTAAGAGGACATAAAATATTATCTGACAAAATAGAGGTTATTTCTGTGCATCACACACTGGTTGATCAAATTTGGTGTCACTTAATTAGGAGACCATGTCGCCCAACAATATACACATGACACCAATGGCATGACATTCATCTTCAACAGCGTTAAGACACCGAAAACCCTTCCTGTCCCCTAAAGGCATCTGAATGAATGAATGAATGAATGAATGAATGAATGAATTGTTCATTTAAGTGTCACACATAAAAATACATTAGTTATATACGTCATAAAAACATGTTTATATTTTTATGCAAGGCCAATATAAGCCGAGGAGACGCCAAACCATGAGACACAAAACTATGTTTTTAACATAATTATAAAATTACAGTAGGTGTAAAAAATAGAACTTTGCTAAAGATTATTTGGTTAAACAACGTTTGAAAAGCGTTTTTGCCGGGCATACATATTAAAACACATTTTACCTAAGTCAGCGATATTTGAGGCAGTTGGCATGAATATACCGTCTTAATATACCGCTCTAATTCAATTTCAATAGGAGCGGTGCCACATCTGAATTTAGCCACAGCGCTACACAGCAAAGACATCTACTTGTGATAAGAGCCCTTCTAATGCCCAACAAGCTGCCCGCACGGCTGATCCATCCATGCATTAAGGCATTTGTCTCCACAACGGTAGATGTGAGGTTTAACCTCACTGCGCCCTGGGATTAAGAGCTCAATGAAGATTAACTGACCCACTGTATACCATT